GCCCCGTTGGCCACACACTGCGCCGCGTCGGGCACCGCCGCCCCCACGCCCCACACACCCGGACTGACCCGCTGGGCAGGCACACACATACACACACACGCGTACTCACACCCCAGCGCCTCGCCAGGCCACACACACCCGTCCACCGCACGGTATCAATCCCCTTCGCTGGTGGCCACTAACCCCGCAGGCGGGTCAGCAGCAGGCACAACCCCGCAGCGACGCTGACACCCTCACCATCACTCTTATTCCTCTTGTGGCAGGAGCCGTCAGTGCCCACCCCCACAGAGAGGGGACACAGGCATACGCCCACAAAAAAACAAAGAGCAAAAACACAGAGCGAGTGTTACAGTGCACCACACGGTTGCAATACACTCAGGAGCAGGACCCTTCAAACAAGTGACATCAGTTAGAGGGCAGGCCGCACACAATGCCCAGCAGCAAGCAAAGCCCCAACACACCCAGAGAAGAAACAAGCAGACGCCTCCCGGACAACACACACAGCACAAGTGAGTACAGTCGCGGGTGAATTAAACAGCGCCCAGCCCACAACGGGGCAGCAATGAAATGAAAACAAAAGAATCTTTATAATGAAGAACCCAGCCCTCGGGACTCAACGCAATTATTACGAGCCCATCGTCGCCCCCTGCACGCACACACACACAGACGTCTTACCACACGGCCACGCAGGCCAGCAGCAGCAGTATTGGGGCACGCACCCACGCAGTGCTGCTGCCACCGTCAGCGTTGGGCACCAGAAGTGCGGGGTCCGTGGTGTCTGGCGGAGAAGTGTGTGACCCGTGGGAGCCGTCAACGGCAGGAGCATCCTCGTGCTCCCGCTGCGGCGTTCTGGCGAGAGTCTCCTGCCCGCTGATCCCCAACTTCTTCTTCAGTTGCGTCAACGCCTCCTGAGTCGCCGCCCTCGTCGCATCGGCCGCCTCCACCGCAGCCGCAGCGTCCGGCGCTGCACCCGTCGCGTCCCTCAATACTGCAACAGCCGCAGTTACTACGGCGGTAGCGGCATCCGCGGCGCTTACGGCTTCCGACATAACTGCATCAAAGTCACCCAAAACTGTCTTCGCCGTCTTCGTTAAGTTTGTAAACTTTGTGTTTTCAGCATCCGTGTTATCTGTAGCGCTCCCTCCTTCTGCCAACGTCAAGGTATCCTCCGCAAGACTCAATAAACTGCCCAGAGAGCCAGACATGCGTTTCATTGCGTCTGCAACTCTGTTCAAGGTCGTCTGTGACTGCACCGCCGCCGTGCTCCCACTCGTCACAATTTCACTGACTTTCTGAACGGCATCCAACACCTTCCCTCCTGCTCCCGCGTTCTTCAGGGCCTCGCTGACTTTCTTCACCGCTGTACTCGCCTGCTCCACTGGCACATCTGCACTCTTCACTGCAGCGGATATTTTATCCGACATGGTCTTCAGAGACGATGCCGCACCCGCAGCGTTGTTCTTTGCATCTGTAACAAGTTTCCTTGCCGCAGCATCCTTAATTTCTGCGAGAGTGGGGTCTTGATTTGTTCCATCAGTCCTATTGCGAGGCAGCAATTTCTTCTTCAGTGTTTCATGCAATACACGCACCAGTTCCACTGCATTGCCAGTGCTTTCGGTCGCCATCACTGCCGCCACTGCCTTCTTGGCTTCCTCCACTGCGGCCTTCACGCTCTCCAGTGCCTCCTCCGCAGAAATCGCTGCCGCCATTGTGTTGTTCGCGGCCACAAATGCCTCCGTCCTCGCCGTGAGGTCCGCCCCCTGCGCGGACACCTCCGCCGGGGTCCCCGTACCAACAGTGGGTGGCACAGAGGAAGCCTCAGCAGCAGCAGCCACGCACAGAGAGGTGCAGCAGCACAGCGCAACGGCAATCACACAAAACATGTGGTACGGCAACATATTCAGAATGGTCTGGGACCACCTGTGTCTGCGGGGGAGAGGAGGAGCACAGCAGGTGGCACACATACACAGAGCGAGAGGGACACGGCACCAACACAGTGCACCGCTGCACAGTGAACCACCCAACAGGTGATATCAGTTAGAGGGCAGGCCGCACACAACGCCCAGCAGCAAGCAAAGCCCCAACACACCCAGAGAAGAAACACACAGACGCCTCCCGGACAGCACACACACAGCACAAGTGAGTGCAGTCGCGGGTGAATTAAACAGCGCCCAGCCCACAACGGGGCAGCAATGAAATGAAAACAAAAAGAATCTTTATAATGAAGAACGCAGCCCTCGGGACTCAACGCAATTATTACGGTGGAAGTATCGTCGCCCCATGAACACAAACACAGACTTCTTACCACACAGATAAACAGGCCAGAAGCAGCAGTATCACTGGCACACGCACCCACGAAGTGTTGCTGCCACCGTCAGCGTTGTTGTTGATGTTGAGCGCAGCCGCAG